ATGCAATTTTTACCCAGAGTTGTTCTTTAACCCTCAGGAGTCTATTAAGGTACAACACACCCCTAAAAAAAACTCTCTCTTGTTATCTCTCGTCTTGACTATTGCAACTCCATCCTCATTAGTCGACCTCTACACAGGCACCTCCCCCCTTCAGTCTATCATGAATGCAGCTGCTAGGCTCATCCACCTAACCAACCCATCAGTGTCTGCAACCCCCCTCTGTCAATACCTCCACTGGCTTCCAATAGCCCAAAGGATACAATTCTAAATATTAACAACCACTTACAAAGCCATCCACAATTCTGCCCCCGGCTATATCTCAAACTTTGTCTCAAAGTATCACCCTAGCCGTCCCCTCCGCTCTTCCAAAGATCTCCTGCTCTCCTGCTCCCTCGTCAGCTCCTTCCATGCTCGCCTCCAGGACTTCACTAGAGTCTCTCCCATCCTCTGGAACTCTCTACCCCAACCTGTCCATCGATCTCCCACTCTGACTGCCTTTAGGCGATCCCTTAAGACTCATCTCTTCAGAGAAGCCTATCCCACCTCAACCTAACCACTCAACCATCACTTCCTCAAACAATTCATCCCCACGCAGCTACCTCCTCATGTATCACTTGCCCCTCCTTTTTAGATTGTAAGCCCTCAGGGGCAGGGCCCTCCTTACCATCTTGTCTTGAATTGTATTATAACTGTAATGTCTTGCTTATATTGTAAAGCACTGAGCAAACTGTTGGCGCTATATAAATCCTGTATAATAATATAATAATTTCTGAAAATGTTGGAATTGTTCCCGAAACCTCCCAATTTTCGTAGAAATTTCAGAATCAAATTATTGTTTGAAAATTCTAAATTGTGTTTGTCCCCAGTTATTAGCAGCCATTCCACATACCGCCTATAAAGTTACATTTTTTTTTCTTTTTAAGTTTAGTTTCACTTATTTCAATACTTGATTTATTTGAGTCAACGTTTTATTTCGCCCGCCCTGAAAACCACATAATTATTTCCACTTATAAACCCGCCACCATTCCATCTTAAATCATTAACGTACGATTTTGCAAAAACATTGTCAGAGCCGCCTATTTTTTTACAGTCTTTGTCCCTCGTATTTAAAAATCGAAAAGGAGGGGAAAAATAAAAGAGGAATGAAAAAAAAAAATGATTCCTGTTTTTAATTACAAAATAGGACAGGTGGCGAGGACACTTAACCAAGGACTCGTAAGGCAATTATAAATGCATTTCTGAAGAAACATTTATAGTGGCTGCGCAATAAACGGCTCAGAATGTCACACTGGGCACTGTAAAAATAAATGGTATTCCCAAGGAAAAATAAAAAAAAATTTAAAAAAAAGGACTGCATATTTATATAACATTCAGCAGATGGATGTAATATTAACTTAGTGGTTTTGTGTTGTCGTTTTATTGCTACTCGATTTTCTTCCCCCTAACTTGGCAGCCCGGAGCGCTGTTTGATTTTTGGATATGGACAATGCTGAAACAGATGTCCAGACCAATAAAATAAATTCCTGAAGGGCTCGGCTTAATTTGTGTAATTGATCAATTTTTGTTCCGTGGTCCTCGGATCACCAGAAAGTAACTGCCTTCCAGATTAGCTCAGCGGTCGGGACTTTTCACCATATGTTACGATGGTTTATTGGCTGGCGCGCGCTCGCTGCTGATACAGCAGCCCCTGGTTCAGGCACCTGTTGGCGACCGTAAAGAGGTTTAACAACTGGCATTCCAGTCTGGAGAGACGGGCTCAGAGTTACTAGACAAATATTGCACATAATTCTCGCTTAAAGTGCCAGTGTCTGTGCGCCCGGCCATCGCCGGGGAAGATTGCCTAAAGAAAATGGGCAGATGCATGTGATGTGACCATATGATCAGGGCAGGTGCCAGGCTATTTTGCACCCTAGTCCCAGCACCCCTCCTGTGTGGCCCCATTTTCCTGCCGGCCAGCTTCTGCAAGCATGTAAGCAGCAGGGAGCAATAGCCAGACTGCTATTGGCTATTTTATTTTGAAATAGGCAATAGCCGACTGGCTATTGAAACCCTATCCATTAAGCAGAAGAGCAGACCTGAGAGAGTAGATGTGCACATGCCTGCAGCAGCCTTCCAAATCTGTCACAGTTAAATGCCAGGTAATGCTAACAGGTACAGCTTATAAAAACTATGGATTATAATGAAACTTGCCGCTACACCCCACACCCCCACAGAGTCATATTGGCCAATCACTATAAAGCACAGCTTCAATGGCCAACAGGAATGTTCATGAGATAGCAAGGGGCAGGCAAGCTTCAGCACTATCCGGAATTGCATGAGATTTAGGCCATGACAGTAAGGTTTGGGAGGCTGCTGCAGTTAAGTGGCCCTTATACCTGCAAGAGTTGGCTCCATTCCCCTTACTGACAGAGTCTCTTTAGGAATATAAAGACTGTATAGGTAAAAGATGGCTACGCAAGGTGTAATTCATAGAATCATAGAATCTCTATCTAGTAAGGAGATTGGTCTGAGATTATTGAAGTCGGTGGGGTCCAGTGAGGATTTTTTGGGTATTGGGGTAACCAGTGCATGTTTTAGAGGGGAGGGAAAGATGCTAGAAGAGAGGGAAAGATTGAAAATGTGAGTAAGAGAGTGTAGGATAGAGCAAGAGGGTGACCAGAGTAGTGGTGAGGCGATGGGGTCCGGGGGGCAAGTAGTGAGGCGGGTGCCAGAGAAAAGCTTTGTAACCTCCTCTGTAGTGATAGAGTCAAAAGAGGAAAGTAACAAGTGTGATGGTGGGTCTAGTACCTTAATCGGGGAAGGTGACTGGGCAATGCAGATCTCCTATCTATCTATCTATCTATCTATCTATCTATCTATCTATCTATCTATCTATCTATCTATCTATCAGCAATGTCAGCTGATGGCAAGCAGCTTTTTTTCTGTCCTGCATTAATGCTCAGATGTCCTGTGTCTACATGCTCCCCCCAGCCATCTGCTAGATGGTATATATTGAGCACTGTGTTATTATCACGCTGCAACTGCACACCTGCCCTCCAACAGGAGTGCTTAAACTGAGTGTGGAACTTTTTGAGGTCCTGCTATTACTAACCTTTCTTGGTAGTTGTTTGTGAGTACATTTTCGTTGTTTTGATTATCTAATAAAGTCCTTCTTTTTTTACACTATGGAGGAGCTCCTTTCCCTTTTTTTCTGCTAGATACCAGTTTTCCCTGACTGTGAAGAGCTGCCCCGCGTCTCTAGAGTTTTTCCCTTTCCTTGCATGGACGGTTTAAAGTTGGCGCCAGTGGTTATTTTCTTTCAGTGTCTTTTAGGCAGTGCCCGATCCAAGGTACGTTGTCCTACCTGCCTGGCTACTTTTGTGGAAATGGATCTGTACATTTTTAAGACTGGGATGGTTTTCTGTTTCTGCCTTTGCCTGCCCTTTGCCCTGATCTTCATTGTTTCATCAACTATGTTTGTCTACCCCCCAGACGTGACCTCTAGCCTATCCTGATTCTGTTCATGTTTTGCATTTTGGCCCCACCTGCTAAAGTTGGCTGTCACTGTTTGGGTCATTAAGCTGGCCATACACCTTACAACCATCGCACGACTTTCGTTGTGCAATGGTTGTAAGGTAATTAAAATCTCATACGATCTGCCCATCTTGGTCTAGGAAGGACGAAATAACAAGCATAGGTTCTGATGAAGGGGGCGTGCCCCAGAAACGCGTAAACCTGCTGCTAACATAGGGACAGAGGACGCTGGTGATACTCATCTCTCCAGACTCTCCCTGCTAGAGGTTCCGACTTCACATCCTATTCTACTGGTTTTTATTCTACTGAATTGTTTTAAGGACAGCCTTAGAGCTGCGTGTTTTACCATGAAATTACTCTTTTACACTATGGAGGCCCTTTCTTTTGTTCCTTGTCTCCTAGATCGTACTTGCGATCATCGCAAGCACTACCTGCTGAGCATTTGTCTTCCGAGCACGCCACTAACCCGCCGAAAATCTTACAATTTTCGGCAGGTTTTCAAGCGTGCTCGGAAGACAAAAACGTGCGAACGTACAGTAAAAACAGTTGCACGCCTTCCATACACCTGCCGATAATCGTACGATCACAGGATCACCCGCGATTATCGTATGATATCGGCAGGTGTATGGGCACCTTAAGGGTTGCTCCCTACTGCTGTTTGCAAGATGAGTGCCTTCAACTGCTGATGGCTGTTTCTAAAAGAGAACCCCCCATCCTCTGCTGGTGGGACAGGGTGTCCCCTGCACATTGCAGCACTCCAATATGTTTATCCTTTAAATGTGAACTCTAGGCAGATCCTGATTGGCACCTAGTACTAGTCCTCTGTCTCCCAACCTCAGTTCTGCAGTACAGGGGATTACATGAGGTTCTTACAAAGACGCATTCAGATACTTACACTAATCGTGTTAAAAATACATTTTATGGTTATTATGCAATTAATACATGACGTGGTGTTTTTTACCTGTCTGGAGTTCAGTTCCAAATGTTCTGGCCTGAACAGGGATATGAAACGTGTATTGCACAGCATTTGCTTCAGTGTAATCTGAACCACAAAACTAGCCCCTATACACACTGCAGCTGCAACATGTTGTGAACTGTTCCATTAGCGTTAGTACACTTTAGTACGCCCTTTAATAACAATCATCAATGTGTTTTTACAGATGCAACTCACAATCTCACACATAAAACAAGTACACATACCCTGACGTTATGCATTTTGAATGGAGTTCTCCTTTAATGTATGTAAATGTCTGTAAATTAGGCATACTAATACCAAGGGTTCCCCTCTTCTGACAGTCATACAGGTGCGTCACCCAGCGTCAGGTCATGAAGGTCAAACCTCTTTGCTAATATATCTTTTGACCTGATACGGAGTGTCAGTGATTTACTTCTTTCTGAATTCTGATACATGCTTAATTAAATCAGATGGCATGATGACTAATTAAACAACGCACGTTAAGTCCCACCTGTCATCTCTCATCACTCACCTATTAAACTTGCCATGGACGCCGTGTTAATTATCTTCCCATAGCCCTGACTCAGCATTACACGGCCTGCAGCCTGCAGAGACAGAAAGTGGAAGGGAGATTCCTGAGCTTCACAATGACTCAATCATTTATGTGCATTTAAATAAGAATACGTTACCTAAAAAAAAGGTAATTTTTTCCCCAAAATCACATGAAAAATCCAGAGCTTAAAGAGTAAACAGAGCACCAACACAGCAAACCAAAGAAAAATCAAGCATGCTTACTTGCAGTGTTTTTTCCTTTTCCTAAGTTATTTTTATTCACTTGCAATGTAACTTTGAGCTTGCTAGATAATTTGACTATGTCAGGAAGAGTCAATTTCCTAGCACAGCCCCGTCCTTCCTTGTCACATCACAGACCCTCTTCTCTTCTGGGATTGACTAATTACTGTTTGTGTTGCTCCAGCTCCCCTGCTCCTTATACATAGTTCACATTCACATCAGTATTATTATTTATTGCTATTATTATTTTATTATTTATTTATAAAGTAGCAGTTATTTTCTTATATACAGTGCTCTAGCATACTAAGCGTCATTCAGTTAGGATTTACATCAGCTTTAGGACATTTCTTAAAGCTGTACTCCAGGCAGATATAAAAAAACACATTAATGCAGCTCTATAATCATTAATTAATCATTATCTGTATTTATTTAAATGCAAGCAGTGTAAGTACCCAAATTTGTCCTAGTATCAGCTTCCTACAGTCCCTGTACAGCAGGGCAGGATTTGTAAGAGGGAGAAGCAGGTCAAAGATCCAATCGGTTCATGTGCTGGAAAGAAGCATGGTGATAGGAGGTAAAAGCAGAAGAACAGAGAGATGAGCGCATCTCTGTACTGCTTCTCCTTTCACTGACCAGTTATAGGTTTGGGGTGGGTTCAGGGTGACCTGGGCCCCGAGGAAATGAGTTTCATGCTGCTGGCCATCAGACTGTGGACATCTACTGGCAAAAAAAAGTACTGCGGGAGAAATCACTAGATTGAAGAGCTAATATTGCAGCATAACCTTTTTTATGTTACCTTTTAATGGGCTAATCATTTTGATATCAATATTTTCAACTGGAGTTCTACTTTAATGCTCAGGCAAATACAGGCCATTGCACACCAGCCAAAGCAAGGCCTGATCGTGCAACAAAACCAGAAGATTCGAGCAGTATGTCATCTAAAAAAAAAGCCTTTTTTGGAGTTCCCTTTTAAAATAAATGAACAGCAGCAACTGTTAATTGCAATTTAGCTTATAAGAACCTCACATATTCCTTTGAAATCGGTGGCAGCCAATCCTGCACTATATATTTATCAATGAAAGAGGAGAAAAAAAACCTAAATCTTCAAATTAATTAGCAGTTTCAGTTGTTAATCCTAATTAATGATTAGGCAACGGCACAGAAAGGCCACACTTCAAAGTGTAGTTAAAGTATTAATTTACTTAGCGTTGGAGAGGCAATGAATTAGACCATTAATACTTCAGATGTGTGGCTTTTTCAAAGTGGACCCCACCCGATAACACTTAAGGGTTCAGTTATCAGTACCGCATTAATTAACTGGAGCCTCTTAGCAAATTATTCATTATTCATCATGCCAGTTATGCCGAGCGGTGGATGCTTGAAGAAATAATTAAAGTAGATGTAAACTCAATCAAATGAAACTCATATAACTGTTAACATGCTAAAGAGGCCCTGTCACCTCGTCCATTTAGGACAAAGGGATGGGGTCTGTGTAAAGCCCACTTTCAGGCTGCCTAATACTTAAGCACTCCCCTGGTCTTATCTAAAACATTGGTCACAAAGGTAAAGGTGGCAACTCTACCTATGATGCTCAGGCCTACCCAATCACCAGGCTGGAGCGTTGTCACATGAGGGAGTTTGTGACGTCACCACTGTCTGAGAGATCTACCAACAGCCAAGACTGGGGGTTGTGTTGGGTTTGCAACAGAGGAAGGAGTGATGAGGGAGAGGTTAGTAAAGAGTGGTCAAGGGGTCGGCTTTATATAGACCTAAATGGACTAGGTGACAGTGTTGTATGGTGGTGCATGGCCCAGCATACCTTGAAAGGCACCACAGCATATAAGGAGGTGCCACATGGGATGGCTCAGGGGAGTTATTGCTTTTTACTATAGTTAAAAGTCGAGTACGAGTAACAATATTTTGTTTTTGGTACTCGCCGATTCCGAGTAGCCGGCCCGCTTGCTGATTAGCTGGGAAGCTGGCTTCCCAGCCAATCAGCAAGAAGGCGGCTGTTCTGACGGCTTGATGCTGGTTGGCCGGGAAGCCGGCTTCCCAGCCAATCAGCATGCAGCATGGGTCATTACTTGCCACCGGGCTTCCTGCCACCCAACTCCATGTTCCCCTACAGCACTGACAGTCAGAGGAAATCTTCCTCTGCCTGGAAGTTCCGGTATCAGGGAAGGTATCGGAGCATTTGGGCGAGTACGAGTACGAGATACTAGTATCGGTATCGGTGCATCCCTAGTTAAAAGTTATAAAGGATGGGGATTGGGGAACAAAAGTAGCCCCCCTCCAGAAGGAAGGACAGTGTCAGGGCCAATTCAGATCGATTTGAGGATCTAAGGCCGAGTGATACACAAATAAGATACATTTCTGTTATTAGTTAAGGTACTGGAATGCATTTTTAAGATTTAACTCCTGAGTTAGGCATATATTTGCAAATATATGCAAAATAAACCTGTTTTTACCCCTTAAAATTTTGAAACGGTTTAAATATTTTTAAATTTTTATATACATTTTATGTTGACTAGCTGCAGAGTATGCTAGGGAATTTTGTTTTAATTTCTGTGAATTGTCTTTCCTATATCCGCCTTTCTATTCACCATTTATGAACTGATTGGTGTGGTTACCATGTACCATACCATAAAAAAAATAAAAGAAAAAGATATAAAACTAATTATACAAAATAAAAGTAACTTCCCAGCCATTTTTGACTTTGTCACCCTCTGGAAACCTTGTAATTGGATCTCTCGGTTCTGCTGTGACATGTCCTAATAAGCTCCGGAGAACACACCTGACAACATATGAAGAGGCCACGCAGGTTGACGTTAAACGTTTTGTCCCATTCCTCCAGGGTGGTATCTTCGCTCGCCGAATTCATGTTAATTCCCGCGTTATTACACGCAATGTCAACTCTCCCCCAATTAGCCACAATCGCGTCCACCATTCTCTTCACATCTTCTTCTTTGCTAATATCGGCTGCCATGGCAACAGAATGTATGCCTGCGAAATAATTCCACCAGAAAAAATAGCTGAGTTGAGATTTTTTTAAACTTTCATTTTAAATGGAAAAATGATTAATGACAGAAATGTATAAATATGCGGGCAGCTGCCTTTATATTGGGATCAACAGCTACAGTGTGTTCTTCATCAACATACTGAGTAGGGGATCATACTATTATTTTAATTTTTTTTATACAAATCTTCAAAAAGTGATATTCTTGTTTTTTTAGGATATGGTGCCACCTAGTGCTGATTTAAGAGAGTGCACAAGTCCTTTATTTAAGAGGAAACTCGTCATGAAAGGGATACATCCTTCTGGAAATGCTGGTGTCCTGGCTATCTCTGATTTCAGCCTAGAACAAGCATGCAACAAATTAATCAGATTGGAAATAGAACTCCTGGCGTGCATGCTCACTTGTTCCAGGTCAGTGGCTCACAGACCATGGAAGCCAGAAGGTTTGCATGTCAACTGGGGCACTAACATTTTCAGAAGTAAAGGGCAGAAGCGTCAGGTTGTGTTTTGCTCTCATAATGAATTGACACAATGTGCAAATTTTTTTCTATTGGTGACTTGCGGTTTTGGTTGCAAAATGCCTTCAATCAGTTAAGCCATTTTAAAGCTGAACTTTCATTTAATTAGATTACTCAATAGCCACAAAGGTTATAAATCCACTTTGTGTTCCCCAAATGCCTATGAAAACTCTGATATATTACTTTGCAAAAGTAGGAGTGATGTCATAATTGTACTGTATATAGCCTGTACAGAAAGCAGAGATGTGGTAGGGGCCAAGCTGGCCCCACCCACTACAGCCTGCCTGCAGAAAACTACAGGAGGGGGCGGGGACAAGACCAGTCACCCTGCACAAGGAGAGCAGCAGTGAGCGCTCTTTATTATAGGGGGGGGCGGAGACAAGACCAGTCACCCTGCACAAGAAGAGAGAGCAGCAGTGAGCAGTCTTTATTACAGGAAGCTCCAAGTGTCACACTGGATTACTGCACTGATCTGGGAGAAATACACAAAGCTCACCAAGATTCAAGGAAGAACACACATGGATCTTGTATTAGACAATAATCGCTGATCCTGGAGTTCAGCTTTAAACAAATATAGTGGATGGTTGGGCTCAATTTTCAGATGCAATTGCATTGTGTGTAATGGGTGCATTCGGAAATAGAATTCACAGATTCACATTGTAAGGAAATAATAGAAATAGTTTTTAACTCAAGTAAAACTTTAATTTTTTATAAACATTAGTCTTCTCCTGCTCCCTTGTTGTCCAGTCACATGCTGGGGCTGGTTTACAACCAGGCTGTGCAGTGTAGCTTGGGGAGAGATCTGAGGCCTGGCTGTGTTGCCTGCTAGAGGAGCCTGGATTGTACAACTGGTTAAACGGAGTTATAATTCCCTTAGCAAATTATATGGTTTGCACATACTGTATGTATTTGGGTGGCGTGTTTAGATGTTTTCCTAGAGTTCATGGCTTATTTATTTATTACTGGTATTTATATAGCACTGACAATCTACACAGCGCTGTACATAGAGCACATTCACATCAGTCCCTGCCCTCAAGGAGTTTACAATCTAAGGTCCCTAGCTCACATGCATACAAGGGCCAATTTAGACAGAAGCCAATTAAAATAGAGGAACCCAGCAGGCTCCACCCACTATAGGCTGCCTGCAGAAAACTACAGGAGAGGGCGGAGCCTCGGAAAGTTTAGAATCCCAAATCCCACACTCCTCTTTTGAGAATTGGGATCCCGAGCTTCTCAGAATCCCTCTGTGAGACCCAGTGACGTCAGCAACAGGAAGCAGCAAGAACCCAGGCATAAGGTGAGTATTTTGAAGGCATTTTTTTTTCTCAATTCATTTATATAATGCAGTGCTTTGTGAACAGGGGGTGGGGGTAGCCACCTATGCAGAGGGGACCTTGCATTTTAGTGCACGGTCCGTTGCATTTTTAAACCATTTCTGATCCTTATTCTCTTTTTATAAATGTGCACATATCAGACCCCAGACTCACTCAACCTAAAAGGCGCCTCACCCCCTGATTTAGATAGATAACAAAAAACGAAAACTAAAGGGTTTAACCATTGCATAAGTTAGGATAAAAACATATTTTATTTTGTTAAATTATACAAGAACTCAGACCAGGTGGAGGGAAGGCATGTGAGATGGTGCTTTTCCTCTGCTAGAAAGGATCTGTGTTGACCGTGACAGCCTTTTGGGTGAGTAGGAGCAAATTTAACTCTGCCAGTATTGATGCATGTTCAACTATTTATTGATACTTAAAGTATATTATATACAATCAGCGTTGTGACAGTTGAGTCATTATTTATTTATGTTAGATTAGCCACCCTTGGTCCCCAGAGGAAGCATACCAGCGAAACGTGTCGAGTCAAAGCCCTATAAATGCAAGACACTGTGAATTGCCGTTGTGACTATGGATAATAATACAAATGGTTTTCATACTGGTAGAAGGCTGTAATGTGGCTGTGTTGGGTATTATTATTATTATATTATTATATAGGATTTATATAGTTTGCGCAGCGCTTTACAATATAAGGAAGACATTACAAATCACAATACAATTCAAGGCAAGATGGTAAGGAAGGCCCTGCCCCTGAGGGTATACAATCTAAGGGAGGGGCAAGTGATATATGAGGAGGTAGCTGTGTGGGGATGAATTGTTTGAGAACATGATGGTACAGTGGTTAGGTTGGGGTGGGATAGGCTTCCCTGAAGGGTATAAGGCTTACCTAGGAGGGAGTTTACTCTAATGTGTTTTTCATTTTTTTTGTAAACAATTTTTATGACGATCTTGTATAATTTAACAAAATAAAATATGTTTTTATCCTAACTTATGCAATGGTGGTGCACCTCTTTAAACCCCATAGTTTTCGATGTGTGGTATCTTCTTATAAATGCATTTTGTTGTCATATATTCAAGAAAAAAACTTATATATTAAAATTTAAAGGAATCAAACAAAATCTTACCAAAGGATCAGTGGTTTGAGAGACAGGTATTCGTCTTACAATAAAAATTCCACAGTCTGACGGTAATTCCACCTTTAAAAGACAAGTTATGGCATTACAGAGCAATCTATGTGTGTGTAGATCTGTCCTATCTGTGAAGAATCTCATAATTTGGCAATCCGAGCAATTGTATCAAAAAACTTTTCTACACACTAGACCGATCTTCATATATTCTGGGGAATTAAACATTTGTAGTTCACCTGATTTTGCAAATTGATTTGTTCCTCACTGTTTGTGAACACCTCTCCCGTACAGTGATGAGCAGAATGTGCCTGGCTTTGATTTGTGAAAGGTGCGGCAAACTCATCTAAAAGTCCAAAAATTGGGAACTTTAATGTGAACCCCCTAGAAGTCAATGGGAGGCCAATCTTGAAAATCAATTGTCTTCATTTTTAAGGCTAATAGTCAAGGAATTGTCAAACAAAAGGCATGCTATGCTGGGCACTGCCCTGGGGTACATGTACCAGAACACAATGCAGCTGGAGGTGCACCTCAGCAGGCATGCAAACAACTTATGTAGTCCAGCCAGAGTTTGGGTCAAACACTTTAATGGCCCATACTCGAACCCCATCCTTACATATTACAAGCAGGTTCATAGATAGCAAAAGGGGTTCATAGATTTTTACATTATAGATGCGAAGGATTCAAGTGAACTGGTGCACTATAGCAATGCAATTAAAAATTGCACTCTCTAAGGCTCTGGTTACAGTTTTGACTGAAGCACTCCTTTAATAATGTCTGCTCCAGAATTATTGGTGCAGAAATTACATTGTCCATTATAACATGGCATACCTGCCAACCTTTCAGTTTAATACGTTTTTTTCCGGGAGATCCCTTAGTAGCCTAATTTGGCCTTGGCAAAAATCTTGTTTTACCATGCCAACCAAAGGCATATATGTTATGTTTTTCTGATTTTTTTTCTAGGGAGGTTTATAATGTATAGAGTAAGTATGCAATGGATTAACTTGCAGAATCTGGCCTTGTGTTCCAGCACTGATGTTCACTTTAACATTCCACCCTCTGTTCCAGACTGGACACAAGCAGGCAAAAAGGCATCACCTTTTGTATAAAGATGGTTCAAGGCTTGCACTTTTTGCAGCCCCAAATCACATTATGTCATTATATTTATTTGTCCTATACTAAATTGTAGGGACCTTATACCAATTCACATAGCATGGTCAATAATTGATTGACCGATGAATTAAGTAAATATAAGATATATATATATACACATACATATTTGTTACAGGGCAGTGCCTCAGAAAGCCATTGGATAGCATGACAGCAGGATATCTAGCATTTGCAGAAATAAATGATCAGCAGTAGTATCCACTATTCCCTCCTGGTATATGATTTCTATAAAGTATTCCTATAGCGAATACTTTTCTATTTTATGTTTTGAACAAAGTAGGGAATGGTTAAACCCCTGCTAGGCTTCTTTTTGCATTATTTGTGCCATTGACGAGTAGGGATGAGCTTCGAGTTTGGGTTGACCACACCATCAGCCTAAAGCCAAGCTGTTTGCAGTTCGCCAAATGGACGAGCGATGTGGCCAGTGCGTTTGCACACCAAACCTAAGTCTGTGTTCTACCAACCAATGGTTGGTCCACACAGAATTATTGGTTAACTGGTGGCTGAGCCGCATAGCATCATTAGTTGCTAGGATAGCAACCTATGATGCTAGGGAGCTGCACAACATCACTGGTTGCTAAGATGCCAGCAGCCCTACAGCGTCATTGTTATGGTGCACTTGCCTCCATCATAGCAACCAATGACACTGTGTGACCCAACCACTAGCGTCCTAGCAACCAATGACATTCTGCAGGGAGCACAGTGCCACTCATTGCTAGTATACAGGCAGCCTTGAGTTCAGTTTGTTTGGGCGTTCACCAAACCAGGATTACTGGCTGGGTTTGGTGAATATCCAAGAGAACTGAACCCAGGCCAGTGCAATCATCACTGTTGATGAGATTCCCCTTTGTTTCATTTCCCAGAGACACAAAAGGTTGTAGGAGGAGATCTCTCCAAAATGAGAGACTCTCTCACTGCTGTCGCTAGAACAGGTTTCTCCAGCAGAAGATTTCACAACCTGTTTCTGTGATAACCCAAAATATTGGATTCTCCCTCATTTTCTGTATCTATTAGTGGGGGACATAAACGGCTACAAAAATCTTACAAAGCTTTTAACCCTTTCCTACTCTAGTTTTAAAAAAAAGTTATGGTTACGCTGACCATACACTGGCAGGTTTTCATAAGAACGTTCATACGAAAAATCTCATCAGAACATTTGATAATGCCATCAGAGATTTGTTGCCCTAAATTTCTTTTGAATTTATCATATCTTTGTTCATTTAAGAAAAATTTTCCATCTTAAATTTTTTTTCGGCACTGAGGTCAAAAACGATCATCGATTTGACCCCATTAACTAGTAGAAAACCCAACATTCTGAATTTTTTAAAAACGAAGTCCTACCAGTAGACATGTACGATACGTTTTGTTCCGAATCAAAATTCGTACGAATTTTCCGAAATTCAGACATTCGGACACATTCGAATGACCAAAACCCAATGCATCCGAATGTGTCCGAATATGAATTTCGTTCAAAAACTAAACTGAATCGGACATGTGACTTTTCTGGCCAATGAGATGTGTTTTTCAGTTTAATACATCCGAATGGGTATGAATTTTCGTTACGGCAACATGGGAGCCATATACAGTATATACATATAATACTAAAGCTGCGGCTCCTAGATCCGAATTTCCGAATTGCATTCAGGGGCTTCAGCTTTAGTATTAATATCTGTGTAGGGTTTTCTGTGGTATTCGCAACGAATATTCGTAAACTCATCTGAAACTAACAAAAATTCAGATTTCGTCCAAATCCGAAACCCAAACCGAATTGAATTTCGGATCCGAATCCCGAAATATCCGAACCGAACCAAACCAAATGTTTCCGCATCTTACATGTCTACCTACCAGTGTAGTAGTGTGGCCAGCTTTAAAGAAACACTATAAGCACAATGGAACAATAAGGCAGCAAATATTGTTAACAATAGTCGCTATTTTGCTGTCTCGCGCTACTCTATCACGTGTCCAGAAAAGAGGAGTTACTCTTTAAGAAAGGCTTTTGAGAGAGAACGAAAGGCAAAGCTTTTTTCTGGCTTTAGTCCTCTTTTGGGTCAATGGCTGACATTTACTGATGTACCCTTATGCTACTGCCCGCTATTTGCTTACAACGCAGAGCCGCCCTACAGCTGGGAAAGATCCCGACAATATTGTCGGGATTCACCCCACTGCTTGATTGATAGCTGGCTCTGCCTCTCTAGAGCCTGCGCCCTTTCCTGTCTGTCCTTCCAATGAGCGCTAGAAGAACAGATAGGAGAAAATGCTTGCGCAGAGCGGTGAATGACAGACACCACACTCTGCGTGGAGAAGACCGTAAACTGAGCGATTAGTGCTTTGTGATCGCTCAGCTCTCGTTTTATAGAGCCTGCAAGTGTCACACTCTGACTCTAAATATTGGGAAGATTACATTTTACTCTCCCAATAGTTCTCCTTTAATTGTCACTTTAACAAAAAAAATATTTTCAGCATAGGACATCCTGCCATGTCCCAGTACCAGAAACAATCAAATCTGTCTCCTCTAAACAGAATTGTTAAAGTTAAATATTCCCTTCTGCTCATTCAAATTACTCAGGCAGCCAGCAGCTCCGGCTTTGTCTATAGCAGCCTTACAGCACTAACCTGCTCCACTCTGGCGTCTGCCTTAATTACATCTGTCATTTCCCTGGACATAAATCCCATCTCATCATCGATGCCTTCCCGGCTGCTCGTAGAAGCGTTTTGTACGCAGATCACACCGTTCATCCTTAGCATATTGCCGCTCATAATCAGGTTGTAATAGTTTATAGGATTCTCCTCCGTAGCGTCAATAAACACCATGTCGTATTGCTCGCCCAAAGCGGCCAACTCCTACAAGACAACAAACAGAGCCGGAATGCAGATGTGCTCTTATTATGTGTGAAAATGGAAACAGCCTTCGCGCTAATAGACAAGACAGCGAGAGATCGCAAGCAGAACGGAAGCAAGGAAATTTACTTATCTCCTCCAGGAAAATCCGTACATCATTTTCTTGCCTGGGCCTAAAGAGGCGTTAAATTATAGAATAGAGGAGTTGCAATCAGGATAAAGAAGGTCACCGAGGTGAAAAGCATGTGTACGGGGTTATTTATCGTTGGCAATTAACGGCAAAAATAATTACTGCAGGACCATAATCATGTAATTGGAAAGCAGAGATATTGTTCACCTAGCGAACAGAAAATAAAATGGATGTGTAGGTGATAGGCGAGAACTTTTTGACTTCAGGCAAATGTAATTAAAGGAGATGGACCATCGTAAATTCTTGTCCTCCAACTTTAAATAAAATGATTTGCTGCTAACATTGCTGGGCTTTTCTTTTCCACTTCAGGTTCATTATTTAAATTTACATTTACCGGCTCTTCAAACATTCTATTCACATATTTACACTGGAACCCGGAGGGCTAATGCCGACCTTTT